ATCAAATCATTTTCTTAAGAAAATTTTTAAAACAAGAAATCAAATTCTCAACATAAGAAATAATGGTTAATAATAAATTATTTTTACTTAAATTTTCTTGAAGAATGAAAATAAATTTGTTAAAATTTAAATATAATATTTTTTTGATATTTTTTCCAAAATGATATATTTTCCTCAATACTGGTATTCTTTTAACAAGATGTCAAATGTCATCCTGGATTTAGTTTCTATATGGGTTAGTATATTCACTTTACTGTAATTGGCTTTTTTCAAAAGAGATTACAGTGCATAATTCTGGGGTCGTTTGGAAGACAGGCATCAAATATGTGAAAGAGTAGAAGTATCTACTATCAAATATCAACTTTTTACACGACCAAAAATGAAATATCTTCTTTTTACGTTAAACTTTAATTTAAACGTGTGCTGCTATATTTCTTATCCCTCCAACAAGGGATTTGTGCAACTAGACCCAGGACTTTGGGAAATACCTAATTAAATATACAAATTACCTTCTATCATATTTATCTTTGTTAATTAATTTGTTATTAAAGTAAGTTTGGGACAAAAATATTGTTTTATTTATATTAAAATGCTACATTTGCCCCCTTTAGGAAAGGAGACCTTGCTCCACTCCCTTTCCATCGTCCCTGATACCATATAACTATGCATTCTAATTTAATTTCTAAAGTTGAGTTCTTTCCATGTTTTATTGGAATCATTGTAGAGAATTTTCATTTTCCGAGAATTTATTATAAATAAATTAACAGTCATTAACTGATTGAAAACATTTGTAAATATTCCTTATATTCGTAGAGCTAGAAACTATATTACATGCCTTACATGACAACTGAAGCAATAGTTCGCACATTGCCTGGAGGCCTGGTTTAAGTGTGGGAGCACAAAGTGTCATGGGATAGCGTCGTTTCGAATTTTTGTGCTAAAAATTTGAAAGCACATTTACATGTCTTACATGGTGAAGAAATTTATCGAAATTTCAAACCCAAACGATGGAAAAGGAATGGAAAAGTTCGTAAAATGTTATTCAGGTCTCACAGGTAAGAATAGTTTTATTTTGACTTGTTATTCAAGCACTTTAATTGCAAAAGAATGTAGTGAAAATATGATTGTTGTGCAGGTATCAGCGGCTTTCTCGGGGGGTCGACCCCCGGGCAACTCACGGGCAACCCCCGGGCATGGCACGGGATTTGTTTTAAAATCACGTCCGGGAGACCAGGGGTTTAGCCTACATTTGTATTTTGCAAATTAACCCCGGGGACAAACGCCCGGGATTTGCAAAAGGAATGCTGCTATATCGGTCAGCGGTGATTCGTCAAAAAATGCTTATTTATGAAGACGGGAACACGCTTCGAAGCACACGAACAATATATTAGGTGAGTGTAATTTAATCCTTTTATTTATAAATGAATAATTAGTCATCCATCCTCAATAAAAGTTGGAAACACCAGAATAATTGCTTGAAACTATAAAGGACACATTTAAACGTTTTGTATC